TTGAAAATAAGAAATTTTCCGTGATGTTCCTTACAAATATCTGATGAATGATAGAGAAGAGTAAGTTTCCCATACAATCTTTTTGTTGTGTTACAACATATGTTTCTTTATTTAAAAAAGCAAACTATTGTCAATTCTAAGGAAATATCTATCTATCATAAGATTCGTAATTTCCAAATCTAGGTTTTCAATCCTAGTTTTCTTCTCCTCCAAATTATTCCTGACTTCATAAAGCAAAGCTTTATTTTTCTCTAAATCATTATTCATATAAATCAGCATATCATTCAAGTAAGAACATGAATCATCAAAATCATATAAAACTGCATTGTAAGAATTTAAAGGAACATTAAGAGAGATAAGGGGATCACGTACCTTCTCAGTCATCGGCGAATTCTAAGTGGTTGACACAAAACATCTTACCTCGATCAACTCTTTTTTCTCTTCACTCTCATCTCCATTATCCTTCTCAAACGCTTCGAACGTGCTCTTCTTTTCAGAATGATCACCATAGTGCTTCGCATACATAGTTCCATGCATTGGATGACGCATCTCCTCATTGTTAGAACCACGACCAAATTTGGTAAGTTCCATCTTCGTCATTTGAATTCTCTTCCATCATAGAGAGATTCTTTGACTTTGCACAAAGCTCTTCTATTTTCATTGAATAGTAAGCTTTGTCTTTTACTTTCTCCTTCTTCTCCTCTTGCTTCCTCAACATGAAATCCCTTTCAATATGATTTTACCCGTTACAATAATTACAATTATAACCAGAATCTTTTTTAGCATCTTCTCAACCTTTTTTTTCTTCTTTCTTCTCTTCCACCTTTTTGACATTCTTTTGAGTAACTCAAGAATTTGACAATAACTTCTTAACTGAACTGTTATTGAAGTTTCCATCAATTGGCTGATGTGTTTTGTATACTACAACATCCTATGGTGCACATACAACCCTAAATACCTTGGATCTATGTTTTCACAAATTATACATGCAAATGGTTTCCAAGGTATTAAACCTATAACTAGCATGCATTAGACATAAACCATAAATAGTTATGGGCTTAGACATCTAATACAACATTGGCTTCTTATAAAATTTCTTGACCCTATTATTTGAATAATAGGCAACAGCTTCATCATCAAATTTCATCAAAAGACCTTCTTCGTTCTCATCTGCTTCACCATCAGAACAAGCTTCCTTCCTAGTGGTTTTTGGGACTAGTGCCAAAACACCTCTAAAGTTCATTTTGCTATTTTCCTCTACAATCTCTTTCACCTCTTACTGGTGAGCTTTAAGAACGTTGTAGAGATTCGACAGTGAATGAGTGTTGAAGTTCTCTTGAGTCTTAATTATCAGAAAAATATTCTTTCATTCTTTCTTTAGCCGAAGTATGAAAGTAATGTTGAACTCGAGAGTGGTATGGACAACATTATACCTACTGCACTTGTAAATGAGCTAATTGAATAGATCATAGTATGCTTCGATAGATTTATTTTCCTTTTGTTTGAAGTTGGCTAACTCCGAGAAGCATTGAGTCACCAAGTTTTTCTTAGTCTGCTCATTTCCTTGGAATTTTTCCTTGAGTTTGTTCCAGATTTCTTATGCAATCTTGCAGCCTCAAATGTAGTTGTACACAACCGACGGCTAACCTCCACGTAACTCGTGAATGCATCTCTTTTCATTGGCCTTCTGCTTGTTGCCTTGAGCAATCATATCTTAATCAGCACCAACCGTTCCTACAGCTTGAAGATGGTCAACACGATAAGGACCTTTTTCAATTAGTCCCCACAAATCCTCATCAATTCCATTAAGGTAATCTTCCATACGATCTACCAACTGATCGTAGTATTCTAAAAGCAACATCGGAATCTTTATGGAAGATCCAATCAGTTTAGCATAGTTTATCATGGTGTTAACATTCAAATTTGTCATTGAGTCATGTTGAAAAGTGGATAATCTTGAAGAAAAAGAAATTGGATACAAACAATTGATTAACAACCGTAGAATAGTTAAATCATAGGGATCAATTGAATCATTATGTCTTCACTTGCGAAAAGATTGAATCGAAACAAGTGACTGAATAAATGAAAATGCGAATGATATTCCTCAATCGATATTTCGATTCCTGCTTTGATACCAACTAAAATTTCGTATTCAATAAATCGTAAAAGAAATCAGAGTTAATTATACACATAATGTAAATAAGATCTTGATTCAGCTCATATTATCTGGAAGGGGTACAAGTACAATTGTAGAGAGAGAAAGCTTAATGTACAAGTTTCAAAAGTTATAAAACACTTATGTACCTACACTATTTATAGTGTACTCAATGAATGCAAAAAAGTATACCAAGACTTCGACATTAAAAGCGAACCTACAAAAGTGCTTGGTAAAATACATACACAGTCGAAGTCATGTTGACCTTTGATATTTACTAATACTTCACTATTAAGACCACTACTTAAGGCTTCGATATATCACAACAAATAAGGCTCTATATAAAGTGATATTCAATCGATGTATGATAACCAAGTTTGGAATTTGGTTGATCCTACACCTAGCATTAAACTCGTTCAGTGTAAGTGGGTCTTCAAGAAGAAGACCAACATAGATGGGAATATGCACACAAACAAAGCTAGGTTGGTTACAAAGGGTTACACTCAAACTCAAGGAACTAATTATAAGGAATCCTCCTCGCCAATAGTCAAGATTAAGTCTATTAGAATATTACTTACCATAGTTGCTTTATATGATTATGAAATATGGCAAGTGGATGTGAAGACCACTTACCTTAACTGAAAATTGATAGAGGATGTCTACATGACTCAAGCTGAAGGTTTCATTGATCTAAAATATCCTAATATATTGTGCAAGCTTGAGATGTCCATTTATGGACTCGAATAAGCATCAAGTAGCCGGAATTTATGCTTCATGAAAAGGTTAAAGAGTTTGGTTTTTCTAGAAACGACGGTGAGCCTTGTGTATATGTCAAAGCCAGTGGGAGTAATATAGTCTTCCTAGTATTGTATGTCGATGATATGCTCCTTATAGGAAACGACATCCCAATGTTGCAAAGTGTGAAGACTTGGCTTGAGAAATTTTTCACTATGAAGGAGAGATGCAGCTTATATATTGGGCATAAGGATCTGCCCATGAAACATGGTATAAGATTGAGTAAGGATCAATCGCCTAGTAATGAAGAAGAATTGGAAAGAATGAGTCGAGTCTCATATGCTTCTGTTATAGGATCAATCATGTATTCAATGACATGTACTACGCCTGATATTTCGTATGCTTTGAGCATGGTGAGTTGATATCAAGATAATTTTGGTGTTAGTCATTGATAGTAGTAAATAATATCCTCAAGTATGTAAAAGGAACTAAGGATATGTTCTTACTATATGGATGTAGAAAAGAGTTGCATGTTATAGGTTATATTGACGTAATTTCCAAACTACCAGTGACAGCTCGTGTTCACAATCAGGCTGGGTGTTCTTTCTAAGTAGAGAAGTGTTAACATGGAAAAGTTCCAAGCAGAAGATAGTGGTAGACTCAACATGTGAATCGGAGTAGTACATTGCAGCTAGTGAAGCAACAAAGGAATCTACATAGTTAAAGAACTTCATTAGTGATATTGGAGTAGTACCAAGAATCAAAGGGCATTTGGAGATATTTTATGATAACGAGGGTGTAGTCACTTTGACTAAGGAACCCAAGGACCATGGTAACTCATGACACATACTCGAAAAATACCACTATGTTCGACATAGAGTAAAAGATAGAGACATCGTTGTGAATAGAGTACCATTTGGGGAGATCCTAGTGATCCTTTCACAAAGCCATTATCAAAAGAGAAACAGATGGTAATAAATGTGTCATTGACATGAGAGTAAATAGCGATCTGATGTAACAGTTTAGTTGTTAGTTTGATTTTGTTTTGAAACATATTATAGTATGAATTGTAACCGTTTTGATGTTCATTTTGTTGTGACTTAATAAAGAGCTTTCTTTTTTATCAGAATTGTGTTTCACTTTAGCATGTTTTGAACCCACTTCCAAAATACTTGATTATATTCGAACATCCACAGTCGGTCATACTCCAGGAAGTAAGTGAGTGATTTAAGACTATCATGAGTATTGGTTGATTGTCCATATAGATTGTACATTGCACAAAGATTATGCTAACACTCATGAGTACTTGAAATAAAGATTTAAGTATTAGAACAACCCAAACTTAGAGATTACTTCATGGATCTAGTCATGAATAATTCTAAGATGACAATATCTTTTGTTCTTCAAATGGAGATGCGTATGAGGTTTTGTTTCCATGTATGATTAGACGAGTAGACAAAAACTATGTAGTCAAACTTTATTTGTTACTTCTCGTAATTAGGAAGCGATATCTATGGGTCCCTCAATGATTTGTGCTGACATCTGAAGTGCTTGGTCGAGTTTTTATATGCTTCCACTGCTTATAAACTTGTGTTAATATGCCTAAAACCTATCACAATATATGTATCCTATATATTTGGTATATTTTTTGGTAAATTATTATGTAATAAGAATACCATATTAGTATTGAAACCGCTATTATTATATTTCATCAAGGTTTTAAGTAATGTTAGACGTGTATTTGCATTGATGTCAAAGCTTTAATGATTCGTGCCAAGTCACATCGTTTGTAAATTATGACTTAAGGCGGGGATTTTATATATAATTAATAATTCTATATATTTTTTTCTACAATTATATATATATATATATATATATATATATATATATATATATATATATATATATATATATATATATATATATATATATATTATATATAGACACGACTTAATACAGTATTTTACTAAAATATAACGTCAAATACATGTCTTGAAGCCATTAAACGTCATGGCATGGCAAAATCATGACTCTTTAGAACTTTTTATCCCTTTTAAATATTAGAAGTTTTCCCATGGAGTTGTCGTTTTGTATTTATTAGATGAGAAGATTGATTTAATAACTCGTACAAATAGCTTATTCATTAAAATTATTATATATTTGTTACAAAAGTTTCGCTACATTTTCCATAAATATCTATAACACTTTCTTCAAAGATCTAGGAACGAACACACAAAATAAATAATACACACACACAAAACACAAGTTTGGTTTAAGAAAATCATAAAGTAAATAATATTATTGTTTCTTTATGCATGTAGTACCCTAGCTCTAGAATCAAGACTTTCGCCAAAGCTTTCATCTTTTTACTGAGTGTAGTATAAAATGATAATTGAAAAAAAAAAAATGTGGCAGTGAATGTTTATGAGTTTGTGTGTGAAGAACATAATGAAAAATCAGAAGATAATAAATGCATCAAGCAGTTGCAGCCAAAGGTAGTGCCGACCTATAACAAACTCTCTTAGCAGCACGAACAATATCCTCAATCTGCAACAATCATTGAAAAAGAAAGAAAAACTCTAAGTTACAAAATTTGAAGCAAATATGAAATGAAAAAAATAGTCAAAAGAAGTAACCTGTGGAAAAGCCATTCTCTCAAGATTGGCAGCATAAGGTGTGGGAACATCAGCCCCAGCAATCCTCTCCACTGGGGCATCCAGATAACCAAAGCTATCTTCAACAACCGAAGCACTACACAGTACACACCCACCCACCCATTAAATAAATTTCTTAATTATTTTAACAAAAAATGTCAAAATAAGCATACCAGATTTCAGCACCAACACCATGTTGAGGAAAGCCTTCCTCAACAGTCACCAGCCGGTTAGTTTTCCTCACAGAAGCATTGATTGTACCTCTATCTAATGGTCGAATGGACCGCAGGTTTACTACCTGTCAAAACATAAATAACCTACCATTATATATATTTAATAAAAAAATAAAAAACCATAAGTTAAGTTGGGTATATATATTTTTTAAATATATATATCGCTTACCTCTGCACTTATCCCTTCCTTTTCAAGTATTTCAGCCGCCTAAAATCATTACATCAAATTTCCACAACATTAATGAGATGTTTAATGAATTATTGAAAAATGCTAAAACACCACCAAAACCCTAATTTCTTCATATCTAAAGGCATTATTGATTATCCTCTGAATCAGGGAAATACATCAATATTTTGAGTTTTATAGTGTTGTTTTTTCCTAACTAATAAATAGATGAAAGAAAGAAATAAACCTTAAGAGCATAGCCAACCATCTTAGAGAAAGCAGTGATGGTGATATCTTTCCCTTCTCTTTCAATCTGTGACACTCAGGTTAGGTAACAGGTAAGCACATTAACTTAAGACAACAATAAAAAATTAATTTTAATCTTTATGTTTATGGATGAAAAACCTTCGCTTTTCCTATCGGGAGGCAGAAACTTGAATCAAGAGCTTCTGCGGAAACTGGGAACGATTCGCCATACCTGAAGATTTTTTTAATTTTTATTTTACTTGAACAAAAAAAAAAGTGTAACCTTTAATTTACTCACAACAACTCATTTTCAAGAAAAACAACGGGATCAGGATCTCTAATTGCAGCTTTTAGAAGTCCACGGGCATCTTCAGAGGAGTATGGTACAACAACTTTTAAACCAGGGACTGATCCATACCATGCACCATAACACTGCATCCATCCATCACATAAACAAACCAAAACCAATTTATTACTTTTAAAAAATTTCTCAACAACCACTTAATTTTGTTTTTGGTATTATTATGAGTTTAATAACAAAACGTTGACCTGAGAATGTTGAGCACCAACACCAGCAGCAGGGCCATTTGGTCCCCTAAAAACAA